TGTATGGATTACTGTGGCAAAGAGCTTCGGTGCAGTCCACTTATAGGACCCCCTCCTGTTACTCAGGAGCTATTCCTATTGGCCAATAAGCCCATTCTACTGTTAACCTCTGTTGTAGTCAGGGTGTGAGGAAAACAATTAGAATCAGGACACAGAATTTATATTATTATTTTGTGATGGTCACCCAGAGTTAAACATAGGAAAGTGCAGGAAATCTATCCACTACACTAAAGACAGAATGTTCAGCCAAGGGCCTGGATCCCAAAGCAATCTCCTCCATGAGCCCAGATGAAGACTTAGAGCCCATGACAGTGCCTCCCACAAGTCCAACTGGAGATCTGGAGCCCACAAGAAGGACTCATGCTAGTCTGTTTTAGAGATCCACACTGGGAAGGCCCAGAGATCAGTTGCAGAAGCTGGAAAGTGTATGCCAGCAGGGTGGGTGAAGGAGCTGTGCTGATAGGTTTAGGGTTCTACACTGGAGCCAATAAGTCATACTCATAGACCAGGGCTCCCCTGAAAAGTACCACAGCCATCTTCAGTGACATGGAAGTCCCAAGCTCCTCCAATGATAAGAACAATCAAGTACATGCCAGAAAGGCAGCATGACAAGTTTCCCCTGGATATTAAACAGCACACATATTCCCCACCAGATACAGGAAGTGGTGCTCAATATAAGGACCAGAGCGCCCCCAAAGTGACCCAGAGCTTCTCTCACCAACAAGGTCCCAAGGTCCTCTGTTAATAAAGGTCGAACTCACACTGGGGAAGCTAGTCATGAGGAGCTCCTCCAAGAGAACAAATGGCTCAAAACAGCAGCAGGTAGAAAAACCCACAACACCTATCTCTTCTTTTCCACATCTCTATTTATGATGGCAACTTTCCTGAGGTGGAACATTTACACTCAGCACCATGCTGATTTAATTCAGCTGGCATTAAGTTGACCACCAGTTTTTAATCCATAACAATCTCCTTTGTCCTTTGGAATTCATTCATTGATTTCAGGGGTCAGGAAATTAGCATATCTGACATCTTGAAGCTTGGAAGTTATATCTTCCCCTCTATCACAACCACCCTTTTATGTAAGGAAAATATACTGGTACCTTGAACTCCCCCTGTTTTAGATCTCTGTGATAGGAGCTGAAAGATAATCTCTTATTAGACTCCTCAGAATTCATCTTCTATTTTGTTGCCTAGGTTCTTCAAATAGGTTTCCACACTACAACTGATCCTCAAGATGCAATTGTTGGATTCCCTTTTTGTTTATTTGTTTTTGTTTTTGTTTTTGTCTTTTTCCTTTTTATCTGTACCAGGGATCGAACTCACGACTGCCTGCTTGCAAGGCAGGCGCTTATGCCGCTGAGCTAAATCCCCAGCCCCTGGATTCCCTTTTTTGATACCAATGCAATAGAAAACACTCTTTCATCTATGATGAGTGAATGTGATGAATCATTATGATGCTATATCACATTTCTCCTGTTTGCCAAGGCCAAAATTGAAGAATTATGTTTGGAAGTAAAGCTGAGCTCTCTACACAGTTAGAAAACTTTAGTGTGGCATAGACTCTTCTATATAAAGTTGGACTAATTAAAAGTACTTCTTACAAACAGAAATTGCCAGATGCTTTGAGAAATATTTGGAGCAAAGGTAGTACCTAACTACCTCCCAGTATGTCACCCTACTAATAACTGACCACCTTGTAAACCCCAGTGAACTTTCCATGCCATATCACATTTCTCAGCGCCTCAATTCTGTGCTACCTTCCCACTTGCTCTGTGGTCCACTGGGGTAATCACTGTTTTCATAATGCTGATTAACTTTACCCCATTCCCTTCTATTTACTCACCTGACAAGCACATTTGTTAATTCAGATCTCCTTTTTGTCCACCTGCCACTTCTCAGTCAACAGAAGGAAGCACACCTTCCCCCACCTCGAGGGCACCTCGGATCATGTCCAGGTAACCATCGACATGCTGCTGTTTTCCTCGCCCTCTTGCTCTGTGATTAGATAATTGTTCTCTACTTTGTCTTCTCCTCAAAACACTTGGTTGTCACTAACTCTTCACTTTCAGTGATTCCTCTTTTATTGAAAAATAATCCAAGCTACCAAGAGAATGTCCTCATTGTCTCACACGCAGTACATTTTCCAGTCTTTTCTTTTCTGCTTCAGCTGATACGCTGCTTACTCATTTCCTGATGATGAGTTCCTCCATTTGTATGCTAAGTCACAGAAACTTTTCAAGTATTTATTATCGCAATTGTCCTTTTCCTCCTGTGTTACTTGCTTTTATCATTACTAGATTACTTCTAACTACACAAATGATTACATTTGCAGTTGTTCTAGATTCCGTGCATTGCAGCTAGTGCAGTTACCTGGTTGTTTTTTTTTTTTTTTTTTTTTTGATCTGACATTTTTCTCCACTGGGGACAGTGCCAGAGTCATTTATTTCTTCATTCCGTTCTCGCTTGAGTTTCGTTTATTCATAGTTTTATTTTCAATACTTAATATAAAGTCATCTTATAATGTACTATATACATTCATGTACTAAAATTCTACTGCTTAAGTTATACCCTATCTTGTTTGTTCTCTCAGCAGTGGTGATGCTGCTGTTCTTGTCCTGAAGCCTCAACCATATGTGAAAACCTTGATACCAAGGAATTCAAAGAAATTTTACTATCTGGGAACTTAATGAAAAGTCTAGCTTTACTAGTTACAAGAGACCTTTGCAGAGATCTTTGGTCCTAGCAAATAAGAGTGAGAATTTTGCATAGTGAAAAATAGGCATGCACAGATGTCCAGAGATCGAAAGCAGCACATCACAGGAGGGGAAAAAATGATGTACTGCATTTCCCCAGTGCTTCCTGTGTACACCTTGCAAAGAGAAAGCCTGTCCTTGGACTCAGTCTCCTTCCTAGGTTTCTCCACTGAAACACAATAAATTAGTAAGCAATGTTAGAAAACTACATCAGACATGAGAAAGGAGTAGACACAGGTGATTCCTACTCGTTCCCACTTGTCACAACTGCTTCAGAAGCTTGTGGAAAACCACATTGAAACCATACTTCCAATGACAATGGGGAAAATCCAGAATTCTGCATTTTTGTTAATTTTCAAATGATTCTAATGCACGTGAAATATGAACATGCATTTAAAGATTAATAAGTACTGAGACAAAAAGAACTAGGGAAAAGTGTAAGGTTAAGACAAAGAAGAATTATTAGCAATAGATTAATTTAGGGAATTTCTGTAATTACCAATAGAAAACACAAACACAAGATATTAGACTTGTCAAAGCCTAAATTGTCACCAATAAAAAAGAAATGAGGGCCAGACTTGCCATCATGATTTCATGGACAATTTCCCTGAATCTAGTCAGGAAGCATTTTCAATACATAATTAGCAAGTGTAGTGGCCTTAAAAGCTCAGCTACAAACATTCAAGGCCACTGAGAATAGCCTATACTGATTTCTTCACAGCCTGACTGCTTTCTTCATTGGCTTCCTTAGAATCTGAGATCAAAGACAACCCAAATCTAACTCCCTGCTGGGTTTGCCCTGGAAACCAGAGCCAAATCTGCTTTTGTTGAGTGTTAGCATGAATAAACATTACTCTGTAATATTTTCAAGTTTATAATAGCATTTTCTTAATCAGTGTGTAGGGCACAGAGTTTCCCTCACACACTATTCCTTCATTTGCTAACTTTGGAGCCAAGGTTTAGTCCTCTGGCCTTGTATCCATCTGCATGCTTTCCTCTGGCAACTTCAACAAGTTCATAGCATGGTTTTAAGTGAAATCTATGCACATTAAAGTTGTCTAAATATGCAGCTTTGGGTTTTCACTCAATTGGATGCTTGATTTCCCACCAATAATTGCATAAATATTAACTGATAAAATGAATTCTATTGGTCTGAAAATTGTTCTTTTTTCACCCCAGGGGACTACACAAACACATATTAACTATTTCCTTCAAATTCCTTAGACTCAATTTTTAGAACTCTTTTTCTATTGCACCTACATGGTATTTTTCAGTGAGTGTCAGCTATAATTTTAAAATATATTTCAAATTGGACCACTTCTATATAACTCCATAGTTACCACTAAATTTTAAGTAATCAATATCTCTCACCAGAAAATTAAATAATTCTTAAATGAATCATTCATTTTAAAACCAATCAGGAGGGCATTCTCTGGTACATGGATCCCTTTAAATGCTTTGCATTACAGTTATGATTGAGATCCAATTATGTACACATAAACCCACAGGGCTCCATGTGATCTCATCCTACTTTTCCAAATTCATGATCTGCTATTCCCTTCTTTATGAAAATCACAAGAGCCATCTTGCTGTTCTTACAGGAAGCCACACAAATTTCTGTCTCTTTCTTATAGATCACAATATATAAACATGTATGGCATGATCATTGTGGAAATGAATTGGTGTTCATTAATAAAGCACATTGTTTATTACTAAATAAGCATGCAAACCAATATCAATTCAAGTTAAAAGCTATAATACAAATTAAATCAGGAATACAGGAAAGTTCTTGAGGTGAGAGTGACAGTATATCTGGTGAACATCACGGTTATAAATAAACCACTAACAGTATAAACTTTGCTTTGCATAATTAGACATTTCCTATAACATTAATAAGATCAAATAAACATGAGATTTGATTAAAATTTTAAGTTGCCTTTTCAGTTTCTAAAATCTATGTTGCAGAACTGCCGATATACTAAGAACAGTCATTTAAATTTTCTATAGGTTTTCAGCTTAAATGCATTATTCTAATTTTTTACAATGACAAATATATTACTATTTTATAGCATTTATTCACTTGGACACTTTTTAATTTAAAAAGCTTTTACATAAAATCCTAAAACAAAAAGTTAAAGTCTTACCAAAATTTAAATATCGAAGCCATCGTCTTTAAAATATGAAGTGTCTCAAAGAAAAATAAAAGAAGGAAAGAAAGGATTATAGCAAAACCACGTTGCTTACCATTCACTTGGAAGATGTGAGTCTGGTAGACATGCGCATAGCCATCTGCATAACAGGTGTAATTGCCCATGTGAGTGGTGGTAACCTTTGTAATATACAAGGACCCATCATCTCCAAAGTCCTATGGAGAATTAAAATAAAGTAAGATAAATGCATTGGCATTTTCAAACTTTCACTGCATTTGTGAGCAAAATAAATAACTAAAATATTGTTTTAAATTTATCGAAATAATCAGTATAATTGTGAAGGACTTTGGTTTGCCATTTTTCTAAAATATCACTAGTTTAAGAGGGATCTCATTTATAAGCATAAATTTTCCATATTTATTTGAAATGAATTTACATAGTAATTTTCCCATATTTGTTCTAGTTTAGTTTATATTCTTCAGACGAATTAATTCATGACATAGTTCTGTCTTATTTATATCTAAAACAAAGAGCTAGTGATTATATTTGTTACAATTGTAGTGATTCACTAATTTTGTGTTAATTATACATTTACCACAAAAAATAGATTTTAAAGTAGTCTGATTTATATAATAAAATTACATAGCTATATCACAGAATAGGACTTTCTTTCTTTCCTTTATCTATTTCGGTACTAAGAATTGAAACAAAGCCTTCAATTATGTTAAATACACACTGTATCCTCTCAGCCAGGATATATTTTTTGAAACTCAGAAACATTCAGTATGAAATTCTCATACTATTTTAAATTCTGGGGAACAAATGCAGTATAATTTTGGAAAGTGAAAGAAATCTCAGTGTTTATCAAAGCCATATCAAGAAGCACCTCTGGAACAGCAGAGTAAAAACCAGAAAAATCTCCTCCATAAAAGCAATGAATACAACGGGAAAAATTGTCAAAAATCTATTTTTTTTCCTAAACTCTGGAAACAGACAAATGCTTTCACCAGTCTGCACTGTATATTTTAAAATAAGTGAGTAGAACTCAGTAAACACGGCAAGACTTGTGACTTAAACTTGGCAGCAGGATCACCTTAAGGGAGTCGCCTGGCTGAGAAGCCAGCTGCTACAACCTTTGACCGTCATCCTAAATGATATAGCAGCCACACCCAGGCTCAGCATGGTCCCTGTTGGTCTGTGCCACAGTGATCAACTCATTTTCAGGACTCTTTCAAGTAAGATTTAGACTTCCCTCTCTGTAGGTAATTCAGTCACTCAAGCCCTGTTAAAAAGAACAGTAGCACCTGTTTTATATTACAACCCCCGAGACAAGAGAAGATGTAACTAGTTGGGTATTAAAGTGGGATGTTCAAAAAACAAAACACGGCCCCTAACTAAAATTAAATCAAAACAACCAAAAAACAAAAATCAAATAAACAAAAAATAAAACCCTGCAAAGGAAAACAGGGCAACTGGAAGTCTACAGACTGATCTGAACTGTCCACACAGCCCTGAAACCTGGAGGCCACACCTGAGTATGGACCGAGTGTCCCTGTGACAGTCTGGTGCATATTCGTGGAGTATGCATTCGTGGAGATCTCATCCATGAATAACCTTAGGCTCTACAGAGGCAGGAAGTAAAGGGCAAGGCAGAGCTGTCAGCTGCCTGAGGAACCTTGATGTGGGTCTCAATATAGGATAAAAATGCTTCCAGCAGAGGAGACTATACTGACTCTAATTAAATATATCTGCAGTCCTGATCTCACTTTTAAGAAAATTGATTAGTGGTTTCAGGGTTTAGTGGGTATACATAACAGATGCATACATAGAAATAAATGAGACTTAATATGGAAACTTTTCTTAACGAAGGCCTCCATCATGAAAGCAAAAAGTCACCTGACAGAATGGGAGAAAATACTTTAAAAATCATTTTTGTGCAAGGGTATTACATCCAGTTTATATGAAGAATTATTACAATTTAATCATGAAAAGAGAATAGTTCAATTAAAACAGTGGATTAAGAATTCAAAGAGACTTTTTTCAAAAGGTTCATAAACAGGCAATAAGCATACAAAAGCTGCGCAGCACTGTTAGCAATAAGGAAACACAAATAAAGACTGCAGTGAAATTCAACTTCACACTCACCAGGAAGGCAAAGATAAAAAAAAGAAGCAAAGTAACACTGCCCTAGAGAAGAGAAGGAAATGTTGGTGCCATTGCTGTGCTAGAAAAATATCAAATTTTGTAGCAGCCTCAGGAAACAGTTTGGCAATTCCTCCAAAATCAAACAACTGTTGATGACTAGCAATTTTACTGCTTCATATAAACCAATAAAATAAAATAAAATAAAAAATGACTTGCACCCAAACTGTGTACACATGCTGATAGCTGTACTTAACAGTTAAAAAGTGAAAAAAGATCTAAATGTGCAACAACTGATAATAAACACAATGTGCTATATCTGTGCAATAGAATATTATTAGGAAACTTTTTAAAAAGCTAGTACTGGCTAATACTATCACACAGATAAATCTCAGAAACGTTGTGATAAGTGAAAAAAAGCAGACACTCATCAGACGATCAGACATTCTGAGTTCAATTACATGAAATGTACATAGACCAAAATGTATCACGCATTACCAAACTCTTATGGCTGAGGCACAGACAGGGACTGCTCGTTGGTGTAGCAGGTCATTTAAGACAATGGAAACAGTCCAGACTTTGATAGCCTTGATGTCAGGATGTCATAAACCACTATTTTAAAGCTGCGCACTTTAAAATGAATTCTTAAAAAAAATTCTTTTATGGTGTGTGGAATATGTCACAAGGAAATCCATATGAAATCCTCATATATAAAAATCAAATATGCCATAACATATTTGGCTAATGGCCTCTTTATTCAGTATGAAATGAAGAAGGATTGACAAAGAATGATCCACACATTTATGCTGAAAGGAAATTCTTTCCCATTTTAACCCACAGCAAGCATTCAAAGATATTACTAAACCCAGATGATATGTGCAAAGTAAGTTTTCAGAGACCAGGGCACTGGACCTGGCTATGCTCTGGGGCTCGCCAGGACGCTGAGCTCTCTGGAGAACCAGATGCTGGGCCAAGCAGAGCCCACCCCATCACTGCCAGGCCCCATGCACAGGTGGAGTGTGACCCACCACTGAGTATGGCAACTTTCAGCAAACTTCCTTCTTCCGAAGTAGCCTGACACACTATCTTTTATAACTAAGAAATCCTTTGAGAATCGCTTATTCATTGACTCTTCTCACTTCTAAGTTATGCATTTAGTTTTTCTGGTGAATATTCGAATTCTTAGGGTTATGTAGAATATTTATGAATTTAAATTGGGTATTTATCTTTAATTCTTTTGGTAAAATGTAGCTAATTTTGTCAGTGTCATTTACTCAAGGACAATTTTCCTTGCCTATTATGTTTTCTTAAATCTTTACATCTTTATAATCTAAAAATAACCAATGATTTGTGAATATTCACGTAACAGTTCTCTACGAGTACACCCTCTGAGTTTGTGACTTTACCTGTGTCTCACATATGTGTTAAAAATAGCTCTTCCCTAAGGGCACTATAGATTCAAATCAAGGAAATTAATACAAGGCTAGTGAACCAGGCCTTTAAAAATGATAAAAATGTTGTAACAGAGAAACAATAGAGAGGGAGGGAGAGAGGGATAGGGGAGGATGAGAGAGAGAGAGAGAGAGAGAGAGAGAGAGAGAGAGAGAGAGAGAAAGTTGGCAGCAGACTAAGACTAACAATAGGGGAGAAGCAGGCAGAAGGAGGAAGAGAGGGGCCAGAGAGGGCGGAGCGGAAAGAAGAAACACGTCCTGTTCTCTGACCATCACGCTGCTTAACTGAAGAGTGCTTAACAGTGACCAGATAAAATATTGATTCTTTACCTTCCTACTATGTAGTACAGATCATACTTCACTCCTACAACTCCAGGGATTTTCAGAGTGTCCCACACAAAGCTCATGATCTGCAGAATAGAGGGACTCTGGAGCGCGTACCCTAACAAGGAGGAGCTGAGACACTGAGGCTGCGGTCTGCCTCTCTGCCTCAGCCAAAGACCGCCTGGAAAGATAGCAGGTGCAGGGCATGGTGTCCAGGTCAGGAGACAGAGGCTGGAGGATCACAGATTCCAGGACAGCCTGTGCTACCCGGGGACTTATAGTGACCTCAGGTTCACCCTTGAGCAGAGCAAGGCCCCCAAAACAAGCAAGCAAAAAGCTCACACAGAGACACCACGGATGGCAGAACTGAAATGCCAAGCAAAAGGACAAGGCAGGTCTTCAGTGAACACAGAGCAGACAGGTGATTTGCTGCAGAATTTAATGGGAAAATGCCGAACTTTTGTCAAAGCCAGTTAAACGTTAGCTCCAAAATATTTTACTAAGGAATATGAGCAAAAAATAATTACTAATAACCTGACATATGACATCAGTATATCCAGTGTTCACTACATAGACACAGCCATGAGGAAAACACACATAAGATACTTACAGCCAAAGCGAATCCTAGTGACCAGATGAGGACAAAGATGTATCTTAAATAACAGTAAAACTCCAAAAACACTTGGTATTTATAATTGTGTTTGTATGCACAGATGCTAAACTCTATATAGGGCTTTTCTGATACAATCCCTTTGGACTTCCATAAAACCAGAAATCAGCACCTTTCCATGGGTTCAGAGAGGTGTCAAATTAGCTGAGATTTGTAAAATGCGATTTTTTTTCCTCGGTTTGTATGTTTTCTTTTTCTTTTTAATTTTTTATTTAAGGAGAAAAGAAAAAAAAAACAGTGAAAGGGTACAAGTTATACAGATTTACAGAAGAAAAAAATGAACAGTAGGAAATCATTAGTTAATGGATTACATATTGCTATCTTAGAAATAATTGTTCAAGTCACAAAATTAAAGCTTGTAGAGTGGACATTCCAACAATGATACTGCAAACAGTTCTGTTCAATGATCCAATAAAACTCTGTGATATCATTTTCTATCTTATACACTTAATTATACATGCAGTTATATAGTTTAGAGCACTTTCTTTTCCTCTCTTTTGTACAATGACTATTACACGTTTTGGGTTTCATTGCTCCCACGGTTCTTATTGCTTTTTTGGAAGAGAGTAAAACCAAATGAGACATAACAGAACAGAATCGGTCAAGTCAAAAGGGTGGACATAATATA